GAGCCAGGACATAAAGCAGATGCGTTTCCAGGGGTAGAGAAATGAGGACAGCGGCAGGTCAGCGTTGCAGCCACATCCTTTCTAGCCATCCTCAGATTCCAGCCTAATGATCAGTCGTAACCTCCAAAAGAATTTTTTAAAAAATCCTGGGAAAATACAGGAGATCCAGGGTGTAGTGTAGGAATCTGTTAGATTAAAACTCTCCACAGGTGGTTCTGATGGGTGTATCCAGGTTTGGAAACCAGCACACTACCTTTTAACATAGTAAATAGATTAGTTATCTCTTTTTAGAGGGGGCATGAGAACAACAATTCCTTTATCCATTTTTCTATTACACCAGCTATGTTACAGTTGCACTTAAAAATCATGGTGACTCAACACAGCGGAATGTAAACCCAACCAGGACTGGGGTGGCTCTGCTCCATATTGTAGGGGACCAGGGCTTTGCTGTCTTTGTTGGTGGCTTTCCAGGCCTCCCTGGGTGTTAACATCCAGCACTTAGCCAGTCACAGAGGAATGAACACAGGCGTTTGTAATGGCGGCCAAGATCGTCCAGGCCCGGAAGTTGTGACTATCACTTTCACTGATATTTCACTGGCCAGAAGTCAGCCATGGGTCACACCTGTCTCCAAAGGAGGTTGGGAAATGTAGCCCAGCTGAGTACCCCGGATGAGGGGAATTGGCTGTGGTGGGACAGTTCAGTCTTCTCTAGCACGGCAGTCTCCAGCCCTTTTGGCACCAGGGATCGGTTTCGTGGAAGACAGTTTTTCCACGGAGGACCGAGAAGGGATGGTTTTGGAATGAAATTGTTCCACTTCAGATCATCAGGCATTAGATTCTCATCAGGAGCATGCAACCTAGATGCCCAGCATGCACAGTTCACAGTAGGGTTTGCTCCCATGAGAATCTAATGCTGCTGCTGATCTGACGGGAGCTGGGGCTCAAGCTGTAATGCTAGCTTGCCCACCGCTCATCTCCTGCTGCACAGCCTGGTTCCTAACAGGCCATGGACTGGTACCTGGGGATTGGGGACCCCTGCTCAAAAGCATGTTCCCTTCCTCTACAAGTCTTTAAGCATTTTCATTGATCTCTTCTCCTCCAGATTCTCCCAGGTTCTCAAGCAGTGAGGTTCCAAACTAGGTTTAACTCTCTAGTCTTCAGAATGTTCTTTTCTAACTATTAGAACTGCAAAGACAGCCTTAAAATGGTGTATTCTTTATACCTGTTGCCTCCACTTCACTTGGTCTTGCTGTTAGGCTGAACCTTAGGAAATCACTGATATTTTTTGACCTACAGAGGTAGCATTTTCATACAAGTGAATGCTACCCTCTCAACTTGATCGGAAGAGCACTCTCAATCTGCCTTCAGCAAGCGCATTCCCGCTCTGCGGTAGGCAGAGATTTGAGAACCAAGCCAAAGGAAAGAGAAGATGGAGGCAGAGTTTCTTTGTACTAAATCTCATCACCTGGTGTATTTGGGGTCTGCCCTATCCCACCATAGTAAAGCTCGTATCCCACCTCTTCCTGAAACCTTAATGACATCTTATTTCTGGTTATTTGCCAAAAGCTTTCACACACATGATCTCATTCATTGCTTTGAGGAATTCGTTTGTTTCCGCCTCTCAATTTATGAGATAATGAGTTATGTAATAATTCCCTTCTTCAATTTAACTGCCAGGAAACTTAGGCCAGCATTTGTGATTAGTCAGAATAATTTTACTGTGTTTTTGGTTGGTATATATTGTTTAAAAATATGTATTTTACTCATTAATTTTTGAAAACTCATTTTTTTCTCAAGTTTTTTAAAGAATGTGAAATTTTAAAAATCTCAAGTTCTTCTTAAAAAATGATGTGGGATAAAACAACTAACATTAATTATATCATCATCTTTGGAGGACGATGTTATCTTCATCTTGCATATGTAGAACCTAGGTCCATAAAACCGAATTTTCCAAGCCCGTAAGGCTCCTTGGTGGGGTAACTGGGACTGGGTTTCCCGTCCAGATTTAATCCGGTGCCTTCTGCTGTATCGGTGCTGCCCTCACAGACTGCTCCTTCTGTCTTCACTTTAGTCTCTTCCCTCTCGATTTCAGATAACTCGTATTTTAAGGTGCCTGAATATTTTCTTTTTTTTTTTTTTTTTTTTTTTTTTTTTTTTTTTTTGAGAGGGAGTCTCGCTGTGTCTCCCAGGCTGGAGTGCAGTGGCGTGATCTCGGCTCACTGCAAGCTCCGCCTCCCGGGTTCACGCCATTCTCCCGCCTCAGCCTCCCAAGTAGCTGAGACTACAGGCGCCCGCCACCACGCCCGGCTAGTTTTTTGTATTTTTAGTAGAGACGGGGTTTCACCATGTTAGCCAGGATAGTCTCGATCTCCTGACCTCGTGATCCACCCGCCTCGGCCTCCCAAAGTGCTGGGATTACAGGCTTGAGCCACCGCGCCCGGCCAGGTGCCTGAATATTTTCTATCTTATTTATTATTGTAGATATGTGAGCACCAGCTCCTTAAAGTTACTGACTATTTCTGATCAAATTCTGGTTATTTTTGTCTCATTAAAATGAACTTTGAAGTTTTCAGGAGAGAAGAAGGCACAAATGTCCCTTAAAAAGTAATCCATTTGAGAGATGGATTAATAAAGTAATGTAATAAATTCAATATAAATTAACTTATATGCGTTTTCAAATTCCAAAAATTGCAGGCGGCGGGGGGAGATGGAATTACATGAGTGAGTTCGGCATGATTCCTAACCAAGGCCTTTTCATAAGTGGAAATCTTTTACCTGGCCCTGGGGAAATCACGGAACTCAACATTTCCTTCACTTCATTGTTTTTCTTTTCCGTTTAAGGAAAGGTAGCTTAAAGCAGTGGTTCTCAGAATATGGCCCTGAACCAGCTGCATCAAAATCACCTGGGAACCTGTTAGAAGTGCCGATTCTACAAAAAGGACCCCCCCCACCCCCACCCCCACCCCCACCCCCACCCACGCCCACGCCCTGCCCTGCCCGACATGGGACCCAGCAGTTTGTGTTTTAACAAGCCCACCAGGTTTTTGTGATGTATGCTGAAGTTTGAGACCGGTTAGCTTAAAACAACCTCTGAGAGGGGCTGGAAGTCACTCTTTATTTGGATCATAACTGAGTAGTTAGAACATCCCTGAGTGAATTCAAAATGCTAATGAGGAAAATTAATATCTCTATTAAAAAAAAAAAAAGAACAAAACAAACCTCAGGAGACCAGAAGTAAGTTGCCTCTTTAAGAAGCAGAGCTGCTTTGAGCTGTTGCAAGGGGGAGCTAAGAGCAGGGCAGAATTTTCCAGGGTCTTTTGACAGGAGGAAGTAGTTGGGGACGACTTATTTTTGTGGCCTGGAGAGAGCCTGTCGTTATTAGACTAAGCATTGTATCAGATCTAAGCGTGTGCTTTCTTAATGTAATGTAGAGCAGGAGCTATATGGTTTTTGTTTGTTTGTTTTTTCATTTTATCATTAAGAATGAGTGCATTACAGCCTGGGCAATGTAGCAAGACCTAGTCTCTACTAAAAAAGTAAAATAATTAGCCAGGCGTGGGGGCACATGCCTGTGGTCCTAGCTACTTGGGAGGCTGAGGTGGGAGGATTGTTTGAGCCCAGGAGGTGCCCTCCAGCCTGGGTGACAGAAAGCACTAGTAATAGCGTTGTGAGCTAAGTCCCGCTTTCTTGGGTGTTCTCATGGTCATGCTCAGAGAATCCCCCTCTCCCCACCAGCATCCACCAGATTGCACACTGGTGTGCAGGAGAGACCAGCTTGCCTTGGCAGCCTGGGTCCAGCAGTCCCAAACCATCAGAAGGAAAACCGACATCCTGCACCTCCGCGTGGTCACTGATTCCCTGCTGTGGGGGCACATTTTGGCCTGAAGTGGGCACTTGGCTGACACAATCTGGGGAAGAAAAGAGAAGAACAGGCTGGGTGCTGTGGCTCTCACCGGTAATCCCAGCACATTAGGAGGCCGCAGCAGGAGGACTATTTGAGCTTAGGAATTAGATCAGCCTGGGCAAGATGGTGGGACCTTGTGTCTACAAAAATAAAAATAAATAAAAATAATTAGCTGACCATAATACCACGTGCCTGTAGTCCCAGCTACCGGGGAGGTTGAGGTGGGAGGATTGCTTGAGCCCAGGAGTGTGAGGTTGTAGTGAGCCATGATCATGTCACTGTGCTACAGCCTTGGTGACAGAGACCCTGTCTCTATTCAAAAGAAGAAGAAGAAGAAAGACAGAAAGAAAAGAAAAGAAAGAAGAGAGAGAAAGAGAGAAAAGAGAAGAGAAGAGGAGCACAGATTGCTCAACCCCATGGAGGCAAGGATCTCACTTCTGCTAGTGGGGCCCTCAGCCCATTCTGCAGTTGGGGTAGCCTCATGGTTAAGATCACATGGACTCCTTGGCTCCATTCCTGTTTTGAACACTTGTTGGCTGTGTGATCTTAGATGAGCCATTGTTTCTCTCTGCCTCAACATTCTTGCTCCTAAAATGGGGATAATTATATATACCTTGCAGGGCTATTTTGAGAATTAAATGAGTTAATGCAGCAGTTCTGAGACTTTTTGGTCTCAGGACTCCTGTATATTCTCAATAACTACTGAGAACCCCAGAGAGTTTTTATTTATGTGAGTTATAGCTACTAATGTTTATTGTATTAGAAATCAACTTAATTCATTAAAAAACCGATTGTGGCCGGGCACGGTGGCTCACACCTGTTATCCCAGCACTTTGGGAGGCCGAGGCTGGTGGATCGTGAGGTCAGGAGATCGAGACCATCCTGGCTAACACGGTGAAACCCCGTCTCTACTAAAAACACAAAAACAAAAATTAGCCGGGCGTGGTGGCGGACGGACTACTCCCAAGTAGTCCCAGCTACTTGGGAGGCCGAGGCAGGAGAATGGCGTGAACCCGGGAGGCGGAGCTTGCAGTGAGCCGAGATCACGCCACTGCACTCCAGCCTGGGCGACAGAGCGAGAATCTGTCTCAAAACAAAAACAAAAACAAACTGATTGCATGTTAACATAAGCAATATTGTTTCTGAAAAATAATTTTTTTCTAAAAAAAAAAAAGCAGTGAGAAGAGTGACATTGCTTTACATTTGTGTAGATCAGCGTCTGGCTTACTAGAAAACAGCTGGGTTCTCATATCCGCTCTGTCATTCAGTGTGTTGTGGTACCACGTCATGTAGGCTCTGGGAAATTCTGCTGTGTATTTGTGAAAGCATGACAATAAAAGTGTTAGAATTATTATAAAAATAGTTTTCTCCTCACAGATACACTAAAAAGGTCTCAGGGATCCTGCTAGGGTCCCTTGGGACACACTTTGAGAAACACTGGATTAATACGTCGTGACAAGTGTTTAGTATAACACCTTGCATGCGGTCATCACTGAATAAAAAAATTATTACAAACAGCACTATTTACTAGGAGATACAGCATCACAGGTGGTTTTCTATACATGTATGGGCCAAGCTCTAGAAGGGCCCCTGTGCAACACACACACACACACAACAGATGCTTTCACTGTTGCCACTAAGCAGTTCCATGTCATCCCATCTGGCTGGGGGGAGCCCTGAAAGTGTCTGGATGTATCTGAAGCTGCTGTACTGGGATGTGTGCAATACTAATATGGGAATGACGGTGGTGGACATCTCATCACATAGTAGCCTTTCCTCCAAGGAGGCAAAGGACTCACCTCCCCATCACCCAGCAGTTATCCTCATGGGGGAGGGAGCCAGTCCAGTCCCTCGGGAAGGCAGTGCCAGGGCCAGGATGTGAACCTGCCTTTCTGACCTACAGCAGAGTCAGGCTAAAGAGGGCAGGCAGAGGCTTGCCAAGGGGCACAGCAGAGTGCTTCAGGACTCACAGTTGCTGGGGCTGAATGCGGGAAACGGCCTGTCAGTTCAACCCAGGAGATGCTAAGATGCAGGCCAGAGTCCATGACTTTGTCCTCCCATCAGGGGACTTGCAGGCCATGTGACAGTCAGCTGGCACTCCCTTGACCTTTTGGTTGAGTCCATAAACCATAATGCAAGCAGTGGGCTGAAAGCTGTGGCAAGCTGCTGTGTTGGCATGTGATTTGGAAAGCCTATTCACTTAGCCACCTATTAAACACCTGGTGTGTTTTGAGTCCCCAATCTGTTTTCTCGCTCATCTCCCACCAAGGGAAAAGCAACACTGACCAATCAGAAGGCAGGCTCAGTCTTGTAGTCTCAGTAGTACCGTCTTCCTTGTGGCCGAGACAGTGTCTCCAGCATCTGCAGTGGTGTGTGCAGCCATAGGTTGACAATGAAATGCAGGGAGCCAGGATCAGGAATCTGACCTGCACCAAGAACTGAGGGCAGAACAGACCGGCATCTGTCTGATGCTGAGGCTGGTGGTGCGGGAGGCCAGGAGGCGGCCAGGAGCCAGAGTGATGCCTTGCAGGACTTGGATGGGGCGGGGGCTGTCTAAAATGTGGGATGAATGCTAAGAGTCAAAAAGTTAGTGACCGCAGGCAGAAGCTTAGAAACACACAGTAGATGTGAAAAGTGCTCCTTGCCCGGCTTTTTAAATGTTCTCTGAATGCCCACAGTGGGCAGAAGCTGCTATTCAGTCAACAAATAGTGGTCAAGGGCTGGGCATTGTTGTAGGTGTGTCACTAGTTACATCAGTGAATAAAACAGACAACAATCCCTACCCGCAAGGAGGTTGCACTTCTGTGGGAAGAAGAAAATAAAGGAAAGGAGAACACGAAGGAAAACATATAAATAAGATACATAATATTAGACGCAGTGGGGGGATGGAGATAGGGTGCTTCCGGGTGGGGTTCTAGCTTTCCACTGGGGGGTTAGGGAAGGTGTTATTGTGAAGATAATGTTTGAGCAGACCGGTGGGAGATGGCGAGGTGAGTGCTGTGGATCTGGGGAGAGGGCATTCAAGAGAGCAGGAGGGCCAGGTGCAGAGGCCTTCAGGTAGGAGCAGGGAGGAGGTGGGCATGGCTGGAACACAGCAGGTGTCCAGAGGTGAGGTCAGTGAGGAACAGAGGGCACTTAGGGGCTTGCAGTCATTGTGATAACAGTGATGCTAACTTGGGGTGAAGTGTGAAGCTAGTGGAGGCTTTTGAGCAAAGGAGTGACTGATCTGACTGTTTTGAAAGAGAATCATTGCCAGGAGCTTCTCGGGGTTGGTAGAAGTGTGTCGGTCAGTCAGGAGACTGGATCAGTAATCCAAGAGGCAGATATTAGCAGCTTGGACCAGAGTGATAAAGGTGGAGGTGGAGAGAAGTTGCTAGATCCTTGATACATTCTAGAAGTACACCAGAAATAATCTGCTAACAGACTGGACATGAGGTATGAGAGAAGGAAGAGGGAAGATGGACTTTGTATCTCTTGGCTTGAGCGAGTGGAAGGCTGGAGAGTCACCATGATCTGAGATGGGCAGGAGCTGGTTGGGGTGGGGGAGGCTCAAGAGTTGGGGTTTGGACATGCCAAGTTTGAGATGCCCAAGTAGAGACTGTAGAGGTCTAGGCTGGAGCAGGCAGAAAGACCCAGGATGTGCACAGGAAAGAGAGAAACAGCAGCAGCAGCACTTGTTTAGCCAAGTCCTACTTCAGGGATCAAATGCATAAAGGAAAGGAAATCTCAGAGCCAGCCTCTAACCCTGAGCTTAATCCCAAAGAGCAGCAGAATAGCCTGGGGTATCCACTCCTCCATCCACCCTGGTGGTACTGCAGAGCCCCTCGTGTACTCACAGGTGGCAAGAGGCAGGGCTCAAAGCTTACCTCACAGGAATGGCTCCCAGGGAGTACATGTAGGGTGAGGGCCCCACTGGAACTGGAATGTACACTCCTGTATCGTGGTGCCTCCTAAGCCTGGGGATGCCTCTGCAAGGGCTCCAGGAGAGCTCTCAAAAAGAAGCAGGCTCTGCCTTTCTCAGATCAGCCCTCTGGCTCTGTTGTTCCCTGGGGTCTGTCTTCAGATGACCACAGTAATCCAGGGAGATGAAGTTGGCAGATCAGAAGCCCTTGAGTAGACCTGCGGAATGTCTGAACTGACAAGAACGGCAGAGAGCGTCCCGTCCAACTCTCCTCTTACAGGTGGGGGAACTGAGGTCCGGGAAGATGATGGGACTTGTCCAGCTTAGAAACTTCATGACCTGGGGCAAATCACTGAACGCTTACAATCATGCCAGGGTGACAGCATTTTCCTAAATGCTCTGGCTCACACATGGCTGTGTGCTCATGGTTCCTCCTGTTTCTCCCTAACCCTCTTCCCCATGGGCTTTTTACTGCCAGATCAGGGTTTGGGGAATGATTGGCAGCCCAGAGGTCAGCCAGCCCTTTTGGCAGTCCAGTCACATCTCCCCACTGGCTGATGAAGCACGGACTCCCTTGGCAGCCAGTACTTCCTCAAGAGATATTTTGCTTAAAACTGATGGTCCTCCTTTGGCTTTGCTATTCCCCATGTCCTTGGTGGGGCAGAGAGGTAGCTCCATCCCACGTTCTTCTCCATTGCCAGAGTCCACCTCCACCCCATCCCAGAGCTGTTTGCTTGCCCTATCCCACGTTGGCTCCTTTCACTCTCTGCAAACCCTTCTGTCCTTCCCATAGTCTGAGCTGCCTTTTTCTTGACTACTTCTTAAGCCTCTGGATTTCTCCTTAAATATCAGCTCTAGGACGCCTGCCCGATGAGCTGAGGTCATTCCTACCCTCAAGTGACCTGATGAATTAAGCAACAATACCAGGGATTCCAGGACAGTGAGTTTGAAGATCAGCATCTTTGCTGGCCTGGGGGAGGCCCTTGGCCTGCTGGGGGTGGATAGAGTGATGCTGACCTTCTGCACAGGCTTTGGGAGGGAGTGGTTAGTTACCGCAAATGTCTGGCTGTCTAGGTGAAGCACTCCCGACCCTCTGCCCCTCAAATGTAGTTGTGAATTACAGAGCTGGAAGCAGCCCACGGGGGCATTTGTTCCACTCCTGTTCCAGGGACAAAACTTAGGCCTGGGTCTCTAAAGCCAGAGGCGTTTGAGGCTTCATCCCAAGGCTAAAGGGGCAGATGCCCTCTCTATCTGGCCTTGTGTCTTCCTCTGCTTCCACCTTACTGTAGAGTGGGGGGCTGGAACGTTGGCAAGGATCAAGGACTCCTGTACCCTATCTCATTCTCCTCCCACACCCCTGTCCCTTCATTACAGATAATCCAACCTCTTTATTCTGTGGTTGCTGAATAGCATCCCCCAGGAGACCATCTTCCCTGCAAATGCAGGGTGACGCTGTGGAGTCGTTTCTCTGCCATCATCTTTTCTCTGCTGGGGATGCCAGAGCATAAACCCGTGGCACAATGGAATGTGCCTGGCAGCGAGGAGGAAGACGCCAGGGCTCCAGTGTGCTCCCACCCTTCCTCTCTGTCAGCCTGAGTGCTCCCGCTCCCTTTGGGCCTCAGTCTCCCACAGAAAGGGAGAACCGGGTGGCCCAGCAATCTCTGGAGCCCCTTCTGGCTCAGACCTCCTGCAGTTCTCTGTAGCCTCCTGGTTCCCAGTGTATTTTTAAAGGATCCTGTGTTATTTATCTCAGCATCTCTGCCCCCCTCCACTGCACACTGCTCTCCGTGCAGTAATGACATCCAGACACCCACACTGTATCTTAACAATCTGATGAGATAAATGCCTCCTCCTTGGGCTCCGTGGACACAGAGTAGCAATTCTCCTATTCTGCTATCAAAGAGCTCTGAAACTCAGGATACCAAGGCAGGAGGAGCAGGCATGTGGATTGCCATGTGCACATCACTGGGCAAAAACACATTCTCCTGCCCCAAAGCCCCCCTGTTTTTCCCCAAAGCTGCCTCACTTTTTCCCTTCCTCCACCTCCAGAACAATGCCTTTGAGCCTGCTGGCGTTTGAGAACGTGCCAAATGGCATTTGAGAATGGGCGGGCGGCATCAGGGGCATGTGGCCTTGTTATTTTGCACGGAGCTCCTAGTGGGATGCACCAGCCGCTGGCCAGGTCCTGGAAATAATTAAGCTGAGCATATTGATCTGGGGGGATTGCAGGGCCTTGGGCATGCTCCAACCTCCAACACCCGCTGTCATGCTCCTTCTGCAGTGACCCTCTCGTGCTCTAGGCACACCTGTTAGATGGAACATGGGACTTTCAAGGTTGTCGCTGCCAGGGCTGGCATGATGTGCTTGCACCCCTGCTCCCTTGTAGACCCGGGAGCTGGGAAGGTGCGTTGGGTTCCAAGAGAAGCAGGAACTGATTTGGTCTTGTAGTGAAAATAGACCTGGCTCTGGTCTGGTAAGTGAGTGACCTCAGACTTAGTTTCCCTAGAAGCAGAAATAGGATAACAATAAGTCTTCCCACTTTAAGGAATGTTGTAAGGATCAAGTGAGAGAATGTGAAATTCTCAGGAACGCTGCAAGGGAGCCTACCTGTTAAACACAGAGGCCACGGGACACAGAGGAAGGAGTAAGGGCTCTGGAGCTGGGCAGGCCAAGCCTGGGTGTGAATTCCAGTGTTTCTCTTCAGGCTGTGCTGCCTGGGGAGGAAATGTACTTACCTGTTCTGAGCTTTTCTTTGCTCTTCTGTAAACCAAGGGAAAATGAAGCTACACTGACTGGTTACTCATAATGATAACAGGAGTATCTATTATTTATTAAATGTTTGTTTTGAGCCAGGGCCTTCGTTCCTTTTCTTTTTAAAACCTCCCTAAAAGTAGCCAGATTTGTAATCACATATTACTTCACATGGACTTTGGATGGTTTGTGTAGTGTCTCCGTGAGAGCAGGGGTTCTGGGGGCTTTGCCCAGTGCTGTATTTCCAAAGCCCAGCACATGCCTGGCCCACGGTGGGTGCTTAAGAGATGTTTATGCAGTCAAGGGAGTGCAGCTGCCTGGCAAGGAGAACCCGGGAATTTCATTTACCCTTCTTATTATTCAGTTCCTTCACCTGAATTCTCTTAGGCTGGAGCTGAGCTTTGGGTTCATAATATATAATTATTATCCCCATTTAAAAATGAGTAAAATGAGGTCAGGAGAGGTTAAGTGCTGTGCCCTAGATCACTCAACTAGGAACTAGGGAACTAAGTCTTGTTGTGCAGTACTTGTTAGAGCCTCCTTGGAAGCTTGGAAAAAGGATGTGGGCAGGACTGGGCAGGGAGGAAACAGCTGGGCACCTACCGGATTCACGGTCTGCCCCAATGAGGATACACGGAATCCTCCCTCTCATCACGGCCCCCAGCGATGCTCATTTTACAGATGAGAAAATGAGGCTGAGAGGGAGAAAGAACCCGAAGCTCAGCTCCAGCCGGAGAGAGTTCAGGTGGAAGAACTGAATAAGAAGAAGGGCAAATGAATTTCCAGAGTTCTCTCATCCCAGAGTAGGATCCTCAGCCTTGCCAGGCAGCCGCACTCAGCCTCCCACCCTCTCTGAGCAGGGGGGTTGGAATGTGTCTGCGGAGGGCAGCGAGGAGGGAGCCTGCTGGAATTCCTTCCGTGTGGCACATCTGGGAGGGGTATTCCCCCTGGTGATACTTGGGAAATCTTGCTGGCCGGCCTCACCAGTCCTTTTTTCCACTGTTCTTTTGGTCTCGGAGCACCCGCCAAACATCTGACACTGTTCAGGATCGATTGCACGTCAAATGAAGAATGGGTATTTAAAAAACAGGTTTTTGTGTGTGTTTTTTCCCCCTGTTGTCATCTAAGAAGCAGGTTTTTAGGTTCTTTGATTCTTTCCCAGAATAACAACCATATGGGGCCTCCACTTACACTGAGCAGCCTGTGCCTTGTGCCAGGGACCGGTTTGTTTCCATTGTCAGCAAACCTTGACTGGCTCCAAACATTTTCAATCAGGTGGTTTCTGAAAGAGGGAGAGACTGAGGGGAAAGTGATGATGTGGTCCCTCTGAAGAGGGTTTAGCTTTCAGAGGTATGGCAGGGGTGGGGCGGACAGCCAGAGGGATGTGACTTTGAGAAGCCAACTCACCGGCAGGACCCAGCGAGATCCAGGCTCGGCGGCTGGAACAAAGAACATTTTGAACCACACGGGGCTCTGGCATGTTTGTTGATCGACTTATCCAAGGACTGGGCCCGCTGCTTTTGTTCCAGAAGATTTCATGGATTAACTCCCTGGGCTTTGGAAAATTGTTTCTTTTTTAAGAAAGGGAAGTTTTGAAAAGCAAATGCTCCTGGGCAGTCTGGGGGTGTGGGGAGTGTTGGCTGGAGTGGGAGGTCACATTCGCCCCATGGTGGGATGGCCAAGGGCTCCCAGCGAGGGAACAGTTGGACCTGTGGTGTCCTGGGGGGAGGGTGCCTCTGAGGGCCCCTAATGGACAGAGGAGTGTGGACACCTGAGCCTGGGAGCATCTTGGGCATTTAGACCAAACCACGGGAAGGACTCCCCAATGCTGAAGGTTGCTAGGCACTGGGGGAGGTTCCCAGGGAGACTGTGGCTAGAAACACCATCTGCCAAAGATGATTTAGTACCGGAAGAGACAAGGGATAGAACGAGATGGTCCTTCCTGTCCCAGTTAATCTTGGTGCTGTTCATTCGGGGCTGAGCATCCCCTCCCTGAAGTGGAAGAGAAGACAGACTTGGCCTTGGGCGGACTCTGAGCGTCTTGTAAAAGGGAGTCCTGCCTCCTTGGCTTTGTCCCCACCCCCTGACCAGGGTCGGATGTCTTGGGAGCTTGCCGGCTCTCTGCCCACTGTCCTGCCCTGTCAGCAGGTACCAGCAAGCCTGTGTGCCATGTGGGGTACAGGGAGTCACGGGCATGTGATTAAATACTCATGCTTTGTCAAAACACTGACAGTTAACAAAATGCCTCCGCCTCTACTCAGGGAAGGGTGAGCAAGGAGGAAAATGACTTCAATATGCAAAAGACATTCCAAGGAGTCCAGGAGGGAATGCTAATTCTAGAGCCAGGAGGGAGTAATGGGAATTAGTTCTTGATTTATAGACTGACTGAAAGAAATCAGCTAGGTTAAACGTGCCTAAATTCTGCTATCTGAGTATGTGCTTAAGGAGATGGGCTCAATGAACTTTGAAAGGCTGTCTCTTCTCTAGTGATGGGAGTGACAGTGAAGTTCCTGATGAAGGAAGGTTTAGGGTGGAAGAATTCTGAGCCCCTGGGTTCTGGATTCAAAATCACACACAGCCCTCTAGACAACACAGAGGTACAGTCTTTGTGGGTAATTTGAAAAACGAGAATGGTGATTGTCTATTTAGGACAGGTTTGGGTACAGCCACTCAGGGAAGCCAGGAACCAGCTTCTAACCGTGGAAGCTTTGTGTTTTCTGTGTAAACTGTCCTTGACTGTGGACAAAGAATGGGTACCCAGTGTTCAGTTGGCATCATAATAGGGAACAGAATTCTACACAGATGGTTCAACGGAACAGAGTTTTCTGAGGGGCATATTCACAGAGGGGTAAGGAGACCAGCAACGGATATCGAGGCACTCAGGGCTAAACGTAGAGGGGAGCTGTTACCGCCTTAAGGCCTGAGGAGGAAGGGGAGAAAATACTGTTTGGGGGGCCTGGTGGCAGCTGGAGCAGGGAGGAGGACCATGAGGGTGAAACCATAGTCGTGGAAGGATGTTGTCACTGCCAGGACCAAGGCACCAAGGTAGGGGGACATGGCAAGAAAATACTCTGCCTTCCCTGCCTCCCGTCTCCAGTTTCCTATTGACACTGCTCATTGGCGAAACCAATCTGAAGCTGGAGGGCCAGGGAGCCGGGCACCTCGAGCAGTCCCCAGGCGCCAGGCTTCCAGGGCACGGGTCAGGGAACAGAGGGTGGAAGGGGTCTAGGGGAGCCAGCAGGGAGACAGAGCTCATTTGTAATATTTGCCTTGTTTAGCCAACTCGAGAAGGCTCGTCCTGAGAAGGCGAGCTTCAAAAGCTCTTACTGACTCTCAAATTATTCCGTCGTCAAGACTAGTGTGTTTACCTTGCAAACTACCTTGAGCCAGCTGTAATGAAATTCTGAAATGTCTCCCATATATCTTCCTTCTCTGTGAAATCTCAGCTTTTTGAGGGCAGGGCCTGATTCTTTTATGAACAGTTGTCTTGATCACTTCAACCCCTTCGCACGTGGAGTGCCTTACACTTTCCAGAGTGCCGTACTCAGTGACCCCTCAAGTCAATGTTTTGAGGCTTTTGAATCGGTCAAAGTGATCATCTTGCTGAGTGGCCTGAGTTCTCCAGCGAGAGAAAATGAGTAGTCTCCTTGAGTGAGGGCCACAGCACACCAGACATGATGGTGGACCCCTTTATGGTGAGAGCCCACAGCCATGCCACCAGCCAGACAGAAACCCAGGAGGCCAGGATGGAGGAAGCAGGCGTGGAAAGTCATTGGATTCCCTTTCCGGTTTAAGCTTGGCCATGCAATGTCTTAAGTAGGGCTCGTGGTCCTAAATGTCACCTCCATCCTGATGCCACAGTGTCGGTGTTGCCACTATTCCATTTCTACTTTTGGGTGAAGACTTACTCCACCTGAGGGGAGAGCACACGAAATCATTAGCAAGTGCTGGCACAGACGGCTCTTCCCCGCCCTGGCCAGGCTGGAGGGGCTGGGTGGTGGTGGGGGGTGTGGGTGAAGTGAGCGTGAAAGGAGAGGCGAAGAGAGTCTAGACATTCCCTTTGCCGAGGGCTGGTGGCCTGTGGCTTGCTCTCTAGGACAACGCGGATCTGTTTGGGGTAATGGCAGGCACTGTTCTTTCTCATCCAGCTGTCTCCTCCTCTTCTGAGTCCCACAGGGTCCTGGGGCCAGTAGGCTCTGTCACCCCCAGCCTGTATTGGGTAGCCACCTGTCACTGCTCAGGCCGGGTTGGAAGGGCCTGTGAGGGGCGGGGTGTGGGATCCAGTTCATGGCTTCCAGAGCCAATTTGGGTGAAATGCAGATGCTCTTCCACTCCTGTGTTTCTACTTCCCAGTTTCATTCTAAATGGAAAATATTTCTGTAGGTTTAAGTCCAAGGTGCAGTCCCAGAGCGGGTATTTTCCCTTTCGACATAAAACAGAAAGTGGAGGCTGCCCTGAGCCTTGGGAAAAGTACTCAGAGAGAATCTTCCCCATGAGGCAGCGTAGCTTGATGAGTTAGGTATTCTGAGTACCTGTAAAGCCTGTTCATTCTTTCCATTTCAGCTCAGACTGACTGAGTTCAAGTCCTGGTGTTGCCACTTACTAGCTGGGTATAAGTTATATAACATTTTAGTTCCTTGATACCCTAATCTATAAGCTGGGGATGAAAATAGTGTCTATGGTAGGGAATCGGTATGAAGATTAAACAATTTAAATTGTGTCAAGGCCAGGCATGGTGGCTCACTCCTATAAAGCCAGCACTTAGGGAGGCCGAGGCAGGAGGATTGCTTGAGCCCAGGAGTTCGACACCAGTCTGGGAAACATAGTGAACCCCATCTCTACAAAAAAAAAAAAAAAAAAATGAGCAGAGCATGGTGGTGCATGCCTGTAGTCCCAGCTACTTGAGAGGCTAAGGCGGGAGGATTGCCTGGGCCCAGGAGTTTGAGGCTGCAGTGAGCTATGATCACATCACTGCACTCCAGCCTGGGTGAGAGAGTGAGACTGTGTCTAAAAACATTTTTTAAAAGTGTGTCAAGTGCAGAAAACAGTGCTTACTGCATGCCATGTGCCATGCAAATGTTTGCTTTTATTTATTTCAAGAAGCATATACTCTTCTGGGAGAGCATCCTCCTAGGACTCTGGAGAGCTAGAACATCTGCAAGGCCACCAACGGAACCAGTATCTCCCAGTGTCCCCCAAGCATCTCTTCCATCGAGCTATTGCCTTGCTCACAAACCCTCAGTGAGTTGCTTGTCTGGAGATACAGGCCAAATCAAGCCTGTCTACAATCTGCTGTCTGGCTGTGTCCATTCCTGGCCACAAATCCTCTGCTTCACCAGGAAAACCTGTTTATGGGCCCCATTCTCCTACTTGTTTTCACCTCTGCCTTACCCTGCCTGAAATGCTCTCCTGCCTCACGTTTCCCTCCAAAGCCTATCCATTCTTCGATTCCAGCTCCAGTTCTGCCCTGAAGGCTTGCCCATGCCTGTGGATCACCGTCCTCTGCCTCCTGCCTCCTCCTGCTTCCCCGGCTGGTGTCTGTCTGGTATCATCAGTCATCTCCTCCCAAGCAGCCTATTACTTTCTCTACTGACAATGCCTTGAGCCGGAAGCCAGACAGCAGATATTCCAAAACTGAAAACCTACAGATTTGCCTGTGTATTTGCTATATTTCTTAAGAACACAAGAGAGACTGAACTTCCTAGAAGTTATTCCTAGGGCCAGCATCATGGGAGTTTGAAGGTTGGCTGTGTAGAGCAGTCACTCCAAGTCAGTTGATTTGCTTTCTTGTTCCTCTCACCACATCAGTATCATAACATGGAGCTTCCTCTGTGTTGTGCTATGAGGTGACAGTAAAAGGGCTGTCGCCACTGCCTGGGACTTGATCTTTCCCTGAAACAGGGACAATTTCTATGACTAGTGCTACATTACATTTATCCGTTCTATTGGACACACATTCATAGGCCCAGGATCAGAATAAAGTAAGTCTACAGCTAGAAGAAATCAGTTTATAGGCAAATAAGACTCTGATGTTGGCCCTTAAAAAGAAACTGCTTGTATTACATATTACAGTTTAATTTTGTCCCCATTAGATGGTCCCAGTGATATCTTTGCTTCCTGACCACAGTCTAGTTTTTAAAAGTTATTTGCACAGGTGACTTTTTTAATCCTTTCCAATCTAAATACAGTTGTCCCTTGGTATTCACAGGTGATTGGTTCCAGGACTCCCCAACCCCTTGGATACCAAAATCCTTGGGTGCTCAAGGCCCTTACATAAAATGCATAGTGTTTTCATATAACCTTTGCATTTAAGGTACACATCCTCTTGTGTACCTTAAATCATCTCCAGGTTACTTATACTACCTAATACGGTGTAAGTGCTATAAAAATAGTTCTTATGATATATTGTTTTCATTGACTTGTATGATTTTATTGTCATATTATTTTTATTAAATTTTTTTTTTCAAATATTTTCTATCTGTGGTTGGTTGAATCACCAAGAGTGCAAAGGGCCAACTGTATCAACAGCTCAGAGTGGAGAGCCCAGGGCCCAGGCACGGATCATCAGGGGAAGAATAAGGCTGGTGGAGAAGAAACAGGACCCCCAGAGCTGGTTCTTTCTGTGGACTGGGAGCTCCTCCAGGATGCTGGGTTAGGACCAGCAGGGCGGCCAGCACCATGGAGACATGCTGCTGCTTTTGGAGATGGGGAGAGGGATATGACCTTTTCTGGGAATCAAATCAGAGTGAAACCAGAAAAAGAAGCTAGACTTCTTGGGGTAACTTGGCAAACAAAGCTCAGACAGATGGAGGGGTGTTCAAGGAACTTTGCACGATTTCCTGTGGGCTAAGAGAAGACATTTGTAAATCTGAAAGGGCAACATAGGGAGAGCTGCTGCAGGGAAGGGGAGGGTCACCCCCGCTCTCCCTGACCCCGGGCTTGGTTAGGGGACAGAGAATGGGACGGGGTCAAGGAGGCTGTTTCCCTCAGTGCAAATGCCTGGACAGCACGTGTGTGCAGGCTGTGTGCCTGACCGACAAGCCCCTGATGGGCGACTGCTGACTGACTGTCCATGCAAGGGGTATGGGCTGTGCTTGGCAGTCCCCAGCAGGCAGGGCTTGTTCACCCGCGTCCTGTCCAGGAGCTATCCTGGCCTTAGTGTTGAAAGACGGCCCTGAGTTGAAGGAGTGGCGGAAGGTCCCACTTGGGTGCTTGATGATGATCTAGAGCCTTGTGCCCTTCTCTTCATGGCCTCCTCCTTTATGGCAGCAAGCCATCGTCCTATGGGGCCCGTTTCTGAGCTGGACGCCCAGCAGTTACCTCAGAAAGTGTTGTGGGGCCCAGGTGTCCTCTCAGAGGATATGCGCACGCCTGAGTCGTTCTCACTGCGTGTGTTCATTTCACTCACTGCATGCTTTGTTCGTTCAGCTCCAAGTACCTGCTGCTGTTTCTGAGCTAGGAGGGCTTCCTTCAGGTAATAGGGGAAGCATGATCTGGAAAAGGGAACGTTTCTTTTTGCCCCATGGAGAGACATCCTGAGACACTTCATCAACCAGGAAGGCTCCTAAGCAGCCACTGGGTTGCAGTGAAAGTGTTCAGCTGCTGGTGACTGCTGTGGTGAGACTTGTGAGAGAGAACAGTGGTGGTGAGCATAGCAGCCCCTCAGAAAGCAAACCAGGGAGTGGGTGCCTGACATGCATGATTCCTAATTCACACGGTCCCTGCATAAGTTAGGCATTCCTGTATCCTGTTTTCACATGAGGAAACTGAGGCCCCTGGAACTCAGGTCTTTTGCCCAAGGCCATCTAACTAGGAGGCTGTAATTAGTGAAGCCGGGATTCATACCTAGGGCTGTCTGATTCCAAAGCTGGGCTCTTTCCACGGTATGGCCTGAGGGTGCAGTCTAGAGCAGGAACTGATGGGATTTGAAAGAACATGAGATGGTGGAGTGCCAGGCTGGCTGGTGTGGGGCCCCGGCTGGGATGAGACAGTGTCTTCAAGTGTCAGGGATGGACACATGTCCCTGTCGGTAGGTGTTGGTCCCT